AGCTATGTTTTTCATCTCCATAACCCCAGTGCCTGGCAAAGGGCCTAGCACAGAGTATAATAAATGTTTACTGAATAAGTGAATACATGAGTAAGAATCTCTCTCTCTCTCTCTCTCTCTTTCTCTCTCTCTCTCTCATGCTATCTCCCTGAGTCACTACTTGGTTTCTATTAAGTGGAGACACAGAAGAAAAACCAGGAGGAACTGCTTTAGTCACTTGATTCAAGAGTGACGTATTCAGGAGAGAAGAAACCCCAGTAGAAATAGGCCATTGCAAAGCCCAGTGGCATTTATATGAGGTCAGTTTTCTGCCAAAGCACCAATGGTGACAGCTTTGAGCTGAGCACTTTGCTTGGGAGCCAGAGCCAAAACTAACAGTCAGTGTGGTGAGCTTTTCTGCACGCTAGGATTCTGACAGCTATTTCTGTCAGCTCCTCAGGGAAAGGCATCTACAAGCCATCTGGGTCTGCCTAGAATCAGGGGTCCCCATCTCCTTTGCCTCAATCTGACCCAAGTAACGAGGCAGCCCTCTCTCCCACCCTTCATCCCCACCGTAGGCACACGCCTCCTCAAAGGGAGCTCTTTAATTGATCAGGACATGGGGGCACTGACAACAGAGTCAAAAACGGCTATAGGGAACTTGGGCCTGTAGAACAAGTTCTGACCAATAGTCTGTAAGTAGAAGCAACGTGTCTTTTCCACGCTTAAATACTTAATCGCTGGTGCACAACTCTCCAGCTCTCTTTCCACTATTGAGGCAATCCCGAAAGCCTCATACTGAGGTGGTAGAGCCCAGGATGGAAGTGGTCTGGATCTCTGAGTTATCCAATAGAGTGGAGGAGAGCTAGCTACCCTGCAAGATGCCTTGATCCATAGCGGATTTTGCATGAGTGGGGAAAATATGTCATTGTTGTATTAAGCCATTGAGATAGTTGGGCTGCTTGTTACTACAGCAGAGCCTAGCCTATTCTGACCAATATATGGAAATTAATCGTTTTAGCCATCCAGCATCAGACCGCCTTCCTCCTTGAGGAGAAACATTGCTCCTCCTTATGTCTCTTTGGTATTGCCAGATCCAGCGACCACTTCTTTGTTTTTTATCTTTCTTGATTTCTCAGCAGCATTTGTCACAATTGACCACTCTCCCCCTGGAAACATTTTATCCTGGTGTCTATGACATCATACCTGGCTGGTTTTTCTCCTATTTCACAGCCCCTGCTTCTTAGTTTCTTTTGTTGGCTCTTCTACTGTTTCACCTTAAAAGTTTGAAGTTTTTCAGGGCTTATTCCTAGGGTCCTTTTTCATGGTTTTAAATGCCATCCATGAAAAAGACAGCAGGTTGCCTTCCAATATTCATTCTACCATTCCTTATTAATAACAAAACCCCTAGTTTTAGGGGCACACTATGCCCAATTAAAAGACTACATTTCCTAGCATGGCCATGTGACTTTTTGGGCCAATGAGATGTAAGAAAAATGCATAGAACTTCCAAGGCATCCTCCTTAAAAGGAAAAAGGTGGGCCTTTCTTTCCTTTTTCTCCTCTCTGACGGGAATGTGAACTAGATGAGGGAACCTTAAGATTGGAAACCAAGTGCTGAGGATGCTGGAGCAGCCCTGAACTGCCTACTTTTGGACTTATTTTTCTGAAGAGGGATATACATTTCTATCATAAGCCATTTTTTTTTTCTATTATTATTTGCAACGGAACCTAACCCTGATACATTCTCATGCTGTTGAAGTTGCTTGCTTGCCTCCCATTTGGAAGCCTGGGTCCGGATCCTCTCCCAGTCAGAGGAGTGGGGAACCAGCAAAAGAAATGCACTTCCCGGCCACAAAATAAATAAAAATGCTGGGCCCCCTCCCACAAATTGTAAGTAACCAAGCTATCAGGAGGAGAGACTGGGAGGTGGACCTAGGAATAAAGTTTATTCGCTCACAGAGAGCATCGAATGCTAGAGTAAGGCACGTGTAAGTCCCCTGCAGACAGGGAGAGCCTGCCTGTCTTATCCAGTAATGCCTCCGCTTTGTCGATGCTCAGTGAACGGGTATATTCTTTATTAAGTTATGGTGTTGGCTTAATAAGCAACAACAAAGGAAATGTTGGGAGGCAGACCAGTTGAGAATCACCGCCTAATCCAGCCTTGTCTGCTTTTCACACATGAAGTAACTAAAGCCTCCGTTGCTGGAGGTGGCATTCAGGCCATCCACAAGGAAAGGCAACCCGAAAACCCCATCTCGGAGGCGAGCGGGCGTTAGAATTGGGGAACGAGGTCAAGAAGAGCCCTGGGGGTTCGTGTCTCCTTAAGATGGCTGTGCTGGAACCACCTGGACCCGGCGGCGAAGCCCCGCCCCCGCTCGGCGCCCCTCGCCGCCCGGACCGCGCCACGCTCCCCTGCGCCCCGGCGGTGCGGCTTGTGAGGTGTCTCAGCACCGCGCCTGCG